CTAAGTTTGTTTCCAATTTCCAAACTTAATCACATGCATAAAAATAAACACACCTATAAATGCGTTATTTTTATATAATTAAGATGCATGTCCGAATAATGTCAACCCGTTTAAAATATACGGGACAATTAGGTCAAAATCGAGTTGGTATAATTTTGACATGAATCCGACATAATTTTTTTTGTGTTTAAGTGTATTGACCTGTTTTTAACCAATGACCAATTTAATTCGTGTCTGACCTATTAATTTTGTGTTCAATTCGTATCGTGTTAGCGTACCGTGTCAAAAATTGACGATCTTAATTCAAAATGCCAAAAAAAAAAAAAAGAAATGAATTCTGGTACCCGAATCATACATGTTAGTTAAGACAATGTCTAATACGCCAAAACCATGTTAGTTTGGTTGTTGTACTTCACCCACTGAGGTTGCCATGTATGAAAGGATGGGCTGCCCAAATTACCACCTTTCCCTTGGAATGTCTCTCTCTCACTGACACTACTTATACATATTATCTTTTGTGCTAATAAACAATTTTGTTTGTTGCCAATTAACCATACATTAATTGTCAAGATTCCACTTTTGGGGCTACTTTAGAAAGTTTTAACATTTACTTTAATGGGGCTTGTCTGGCTTCTGAGCTACTTAAAATGTAATTTTAAGGGGACTGTCTTTGTGTTCGCAAGGTTGAAATTGAAAAATATACATACAAGTGTTCTAGGATGATCTGTTGTGTATGTTAAGGCTTTACGAGGGTCTTCTTTAAATGACACAAGATTTAATGTCAAAATAAATTTTTGTAACTAACAACAAACCGTATTGAAATATGCAAAATAAAATAAATTATGTAGTTTGGAGTAAAAACCTATGCTAATGGACAAAACACCAATAAAAAATATATATCAATGATAAACATTATGTAAAGTCTCAAAATGGAAGCAAGCATCGTGTTGATTTTATAACACTTCTAATACATCAAATGATCAGAGTTGTTGCACGTGGGTGAGTTTTTGTCAAAGAAATTTTTATTCTTGTCACTTTAGCAAGTCTGACAACAAAGATTTGTCCTCAGTAATTAAACATCAAACTCACCTACTGTGGGGTCCACTTTAATACCATCAATCCTTAAATTACTAAACAGCATGAGCTGATAACAACTTAGGATTATTAAACACACCATTGTCTGCCATTGACGCATCTTTCATCAAACAAACAAGTTGGCAACCTTCATACAATGCTCAAACATGTCTGCTGCCAAAAACTATCATAAGCCTTCTATTAAAAGTTGGAGGAAGCTAAGAGCACTTCTCTGATAATTCATCATGCTTGGTTCTTGGAGGCACAAGTGCCTGATCTTGAGTCTTCTTGCTTTTATTGTTCTATCAGAAGCTTCAAGATTCCCCAAGGGAAACTACTGGGAGCAAATGCTGCCCAAGAAGCATCCAACCCTTTCTTCATCCCCCTCCAAAGGCTCAAATTATGTGAGTGCATCATCATCCACAGCCATAGAAACCGAGCGAAATCGTCCTTTGTTTGGTGGGAAGGTCCAGTTCTGATTTTGGACGTAGTAGTCATATCTTTTTTTCTGATGGTAGAAGCAGACAACTTTAAACAGCAATGATTCAAAGGAAGGATGCAGGGTTTTTTGAATTTGATTCTTACTACGAGCACTAGAGCACAAAGGCGTAAAAAGATTCATGTAGTCGATCTCAAAGGACAACATTCAGTTGAATTGACTAGAGTATTCTTACAATTAGCTCGGTTGGTCTCTTTGTGTACAAACTGTCTTATATCGAATATTTGTTATTTTGACATGATGTTTAGTACGTACTTAAACTTCACTAGCCTGATGAGTTCTTGCTGATATTTCAGGAAGGGCAAGGCTATTCAGGGATTTGGAATTGATGAAGTGTGAGTTTCAATAGGCAACGTAATGGAAATGTGTCGGACTGCAAAATTCGACCCCATCCTTGGCATCGAGGAGTGGTGAGCAGCAAGGAACTTGAATCAATCAAATGGTATAGTCTTAGAGGTTCGTGACTATCATTGTAATCTTTCTGTGTAGCATATGTTTCGTAATTAGCATCTTCCTTTTGAATAAATTCACCTAACTTAGTAGAGCAAAAGGGCTAGATTTTCTTGGTGAGTATGTAGGTGGTGAACTGATGAGAAATTGATGGTGTACACCTCTGAAAGTCTTCAAACAATGGAAAACAAGTTTTCCAAACTTTTTACCTTTCTTGTTCTTGTGTAGTATGGTATTCGTATGGAATTGGGAGACTCTACTTGTTCTAACAATTGTTAAAGTGAGCAAGTTTTTTGTTGTTAAATTACAATACTATTTGATTAGAGCTAGTACTAGTCCGTTTAAGTTACTAGTATGTCTGTGGTATCAATTTTTTTTTTTTCGTAAGGCAAATAAATGGATCTTGTAAATCAACAAGCAAACTGAACTAAATGTTGCTCAGTAGGTAAAATGAATCAAGTCCTTGAAGAGGACTGTGTGTGTGTGTTCGGGGGAGGGGGGGATGTTTGAAGAATATAAGATAATCACATGCACATGAAATTCATTTTTGAAACGAATGAAACAGACAATTAAAATTGTGTGAGATTCTGTATATTCTGCACTTATTTACCCAATCAATTGGCAATTCTTGGGCTCTGAGATTCGTGGTAATTCAGTTTGAGACAATCAATTGTCTTCTCCAAAACGCATGGCCAGCCAAAAGAAGGAAGATAAGCTCACCTAGGTGGAAAATACTAGCGGATATGAAATTTCACCCCTACTCTGCTAAGCCTGCTTTGGAACATATTTATTTCATTGCTGATGCAACTTGCATATAGTATTAAAGGAGTGGGGATGAAGTGTATAGATGTATTAAAGGAAGAAAGATCATCACAACAGTATTTGAAACACAGAAGGGCAATATTTGAAGTTACACAAGGCAAGAAGTTGCATAAAACTCAACTAGCTATATGAACAGAACTATAAATCGCATACAAGATATTTCCATCACATTTCTCCAACTGAAGAGGAACTATTAAACATTAAACTGCAGAAGGGATCATCAGGTACTACTATGCACATAACCATCATCTCCCACCAGCTACCTCCAAGAATATAAGTTCACTCATGCTATCAGAAACCGTGTTAATTGTGCTAGTACCAGCAGTGTATCCACGGACATCTGATCTCTCACCAAGCAAGGACTCAGTCTCCTCTGTATTCAATTCAGCTTTAACCCATGGATGCTTTGTTATCAGTCTCAACCCCTCTAGTTCCATAGCTACTTCCTTCATTGGGGGCCTATCCTCCCCTTTTACATTTAAGCACCTTTTTGCTAGCATAGCAACTTCCTTGAGCTGCTCAGTATTTCCTTCGCGTACTAGATGATCCTCAAGAACCTGGAATAAGTTATCCTCCTTCACCGAAGAAATAAAATACATAGCTAGATTTCTCTGTTCCTCTGGCCTATCAAAAGATACTGCCTTCTGTCCAGTTAGTAGCTCTACAAGGACTACTCCGAAGCTGTAAACATCACTTTTCTCGGTTAATTGGCTAGTAAGTAAGTATTCAGGGTCCAAGTATCCAAGAGTTCCTTGCACCACTGTGCATAACCGAGTTTGATCCAGAGGAACCAACCTTGAGGCACCAAAGTCTGACACTTTTGCAATGTAGTTTTCATCTAAGAGGATGTTGGTAGACTTGATATCCCTGTGGATGATAGGGGTAGAAGCTGCAGAGTGCAAATATGAGAGCACTCCAGCAGTTTCTGCAGCTATCCTCAAACGGGAGTCCCAAGAAAGAGAAGATGCATTGATTTTATTGTGTATGTGTTCAAAGAGGGTGCCGTTGTTAATGAATTCATAAACCAGTAATGGGACTTGTGTCTCCAAACAACAACCCAACAGCCTAACCACATTCCTATGGTTGATTTTGGAGAGAATCACCACCTCATTGATGAACTGCTCAATTTGGGTTTGATCCACTACTTTTGACTTCTTGATGGCAACTATACTGCTGTCAGTTAAGCATCCTTTGTATACTGTGCCAAAACCTCCTTGTCCAATGATTCTGCTTTCTTCATAGTTGTTGGTTGCCACCTCAATCTCTTCTGCGTTGAAAATTTTAATTGTACCACTTGATCCTTCTGGTCCAGAGAGTTGCCGTTGTAACATAAAGCCACCATTTTGCTGAAAAAACTTTTCTTTGAGCTTGATTAGTTTCCTCTTCTTCAGTCCCAAGTACAACCAAGAGCTACTCATGAGCAGCAGTACCATGCCCACAGGAATACCTGTAATTGCATTTAAATAGCAATAGAAAACCAAAAGAAAGCTTATGCTTTCTGGGAAACAATTGTATACAACAGCAAAGAAGAAGGCAATTTCTGTTGCTAAAATAGGAGGTTTCATCAATACCCTTTGTATAAAATTCAAGAATGATCAGCAATATCGTACTAAAAAGATGGATGCTGTAGGCCTACATAACGGAAATTCAGTAGTCTTCTTTGAAAAATCAAAATAATTTTGCCATTAACTACTAGCATGCCCTTGCTTCTGTGAGTATTAAATTCTATCTTAACATTCTGCAAGGATGAAAAAGGGATTTAGCTTCCATTAAATGCTTAGGCTCAACAAGAAAAGTTCCTGTAAGCAATAACTTCCTCTAACTATGAATTATACGAATCCAGATCCACTCCAATATTTTGTTCCTCTATTTTTCTTCTTGGTAGAACATCCATCATATATTAACGAGAGATCTATTTATATACAATGGGTCTCACTTGAATTTACGATAGGTAACCTAAAGAAAAATGGAGAAAAAATATATTAGAAGGGATTTTGCTAAAAATGATACCGTTAAGATCATACCATGATTCCTGTTCAAGTGTTACAAAGAACCTCATCTCTGTCACATCTTGCTAATAGATATAGTAGGAAAAATGCAGCAACTAAACTCACCTACAGCAAACTTAATGACAAGTGACTGACCGCGGTCGGCAACGCAACCATCTCCATCTTTGCGTCCATTGCCACGGTACCCCTTGGGGCAGGTACATGTATAGTTCCCTATGGTATTATTACAGCGATTTGCAAATGTACAGTTATTGAGACTTGGATTTTGGCATTCATCAATGTCTGTATAACAATTGTAAGGTCACTCATCAAGAAAGCATAATTGTACATTGTGCATGTACGAGTAATCATTCTTAATAACAATAACGGTATAACGAACGCAAGATGATTTTTAGTATATTTTACTGTATCATAAATATGATAAATATATAATAATATTTCTTAAGTAATGATGCAATGATATCAGTGACCTTTCCATTAACAAAAATTGAACAAATGAAATGCACAATCTTAATAATGTGGCTTCAATGCAATTATTAAATTAATTGTAAGTTTCAATGTTAAATAGAGCTCACAATCAATCCAATTATTGTATATCATTAGGTTTCTAAATAACGACCCCAAATAAGATCTGAGTAACATTTTCCTCTCGCAAAACACAACCCCACATCCTAAGAGACCAAAAAAAAAAAAGAAGTGGTGGGAATGGCTTGTATATCCAAACGGAACGATGCAGAGGAGATGAAATCTGGAACTCGTCTTGGAGAAGGAGATCGACTCATCTTCCATCATTTGAAGCAAGTAGCGAACACGCCGAGCAGAGGAAAGCACAGATCCGATCACTAGTCAGGCGGTCACAGTTCGAGTTTCAAGTCTTTCGACAGTTTGAACACTTGAACTTGATCTAAGTTCTAAAACCCACCTCAAGAACCAGATCTGGTGTACAAGTGCATTTTTTAGTTTTTTTTTTTGAAAGATGTGTGTGCAGGATCTTGCACAATATAAACACGAGAACAGATCTCTCCTGTGGTGAACTCGAGTCAGTCAATTGAATGGTCAATCTTGCTATTTGGAACAGGCTGAGATCCGTTGGTGGCCTGGAAAGGTAATGGGTGGCTTTTGTGGATCAAAGGAGCGGTTCAGTAAGGTTGAGGGAGGTTTCTGGAAAAGAGAAAGACAAGTTAGAAGGGCACCAGAGTGTTTTCCGGCGTATCCCCTCCGATGATCAAGTTAGTTTTTGAGAGAGGGGAAGAAGAAAACACTTGAGTATAGGTTTGAGAAAAGGTTTTTCGTTGCATACCCTCTTGCCTTTTGCGAGGAGTATTTATATTTCAAAAACTCATGATTGCTGTCAATGTGTTCAGTAGGTGATCATTAGATACGGGCAACGTGCGCACTGATTCCTATGAAGAATGTCTTCTCTCTTAACTGTTCGGGACCCCGAGCAATCAATGCAGCGTCATCGGCCTACCGAATGTTTAATGAGTTCCTCCCGGCAAGAGTGTAATAAATGCCCAATATCAGGGACATTTATTACATTTATCTTCTGAGCCTTACCGCATTAAATGTTGTATCATCAAGAAAATGACCTAATTAAATGCTTGCTTTCCCAAGTTGTGTGTCAGCAAGGACATCCGGTCTTTTTTGTCTCTGATGTGACACAATATGCCACGCACCCTTTCGCCATTGACTGCGTTTTTTGCCTTCATGTGCCTTCTAACACCAATTGTGTAAGACGAGGTCATGATAGCTAACTTAGTCTAGCCTAGGCTAGTGACCTGTACATCAATAGCCTCTGCAGGAGCAGAGAATGTCATCCTGGACGAGTACATCTGGGAACCGAGAGGAGGTACATGTGGGGGCCGATGTACCCCATATCCGACCGAGGGATACGTACGTAACGTACTAGATATCATTGATCCCTATGACCAGTACCTCGGGGGAGAGGGACTTGTGAACCGACGGGTACGTGTCGTGATCACAATAACAAGAATTTACTGACGCCGAGGACACATGTCTTCATCTTGGAGTATTTTAAAAATGTCCCATCAAAAGATTTTCTAAATCTAAACCATGTATTTGAGTGAAGGTCGATGAGAGAAGTTGGCTGAATTGGGTTTCGACTGTGAAATTTTTTAATTTTTTCTATCTGTTATATCATACTATAATGAAATCGGAGGACGCCCTTACTATTACGTAATGGCTGTTACACATGGTAATGATGGATTTTCAAAACCTGAATCATAGTAATATATAAATCCCACCAGGAGGATGGAAAAATAAGTAACATGATTAATATCATTGCAATCTAATAGCTTAGATTTGTAGAATAGATGGTGGTGGTTCAACAGAGTACCTTGACAACCATTGATGAGGTATGGGTTACCGTCGTACCCAGCCAAGCAGTGACAGAGATACCCAGAAGTAGTACTGGGTTCGTAACACTTCGAATTGTTTTTACAGGCATAACTAGTGAAGTTCATTTGAGCCATCTCACAAGTCTCATTTCCAATGGTCCAATCAACCAGCAGAGGAAGCTTATGTACATTCTGCAGTTCGCGAAGATAGTTTGAGGTGAAGTTGAACTCATTTTCTTGGATGACAAAGGCATAGCTGCCTGAATTGAAGTCTGACACCTTTGTATAATTGTAATAGCTACTTAAATCCATTGTGATGGACCATACCCCTTTAGGGATGCGTATCTGGCAACAGCCAACACCGGAACAAGAACCATTATCAACATTATCTATGCTGTTACATATGGACATGCAACCTGTAATACTGTAATTCTCATTTCGTCGGTCGAATGTAACAATGGCATAAGTGTCACAGCCAACTGCTGTGAACTTATTGGTATCAGATATGATGAATTTGGACAGACTAAGCCAAGGCTCGTTATTGTACACTTGGACATGATCACGCTGACGATAAAGATCACGGGCTATAAAGTGCCAGATTTGCAACTGACCCCGGAGGAGAGAGATTTCTGTAACATTTATCGTACTGTTAGTTAAAAATGCTTTTGGAGGGGTGAAAGAGCTGTTACAGGTGATGAGGAACTGTTCATTGAGATAACAGTCTTTAGTCGTCCCAAATGGGTATGGGATGCTTACATTCCCGCAGCTATTGAGGCAGCCAGGCTTGGCTATAACTGTTGTCGTTCGATTTGCAGTTGATGTGGAGGACAAAACCAATGCAAGAGTGAAATGCACTAGCCTCACATGAAAGCCCATTGTCACAAATTTCTCCTGCTGGTAGAAGTTTTTTTTCGAATAGAACAATATCGTGTGCGCTTTGGTCAGTTTGTAGGCACTCCGAGGAAGAAAAGGTCTGCTCAGTGGGACATGGTTACAGAAATGTTCTTACATTAATAAACTGTAGATAGTCAACCGATTGACAGATATCAATATTTCAACAATCAGAATAAAATGACTTTAAACAAAGTTTCATAAAATAATCAAAGAAAATTTGGACGTCGATCTTCTTATATAGATTTATTTGGATTCAAGTCCGTTAAATTTATTTGTTATAAAGTCTATTTTTTGTCAATTTTATCGATCTATCCATTTCATTTAAAAGTAAAGTAAAATTAAAAATTAAAAATATCTAAATTTTAGGGGTTTGATTAACAATAAAAAATTTTCTCTCTCAGATATATATATACAGTAACATTAAAAATAAAAAATAGTATCATTTAAATATAAAAAAAATTATCATTTAGACAAAAAAAATAATATCATTTAAATACAAAAAAATAGTAACATTCAATATTAATATTTAAAAAAAATAACAATAGTAACATGTTTAACAATAATTATTTCTCTCATATCTCTCATATCTATCTATATCTATATATAGAATAAGATTATATATATATATATATATATATATATAGTAATGTTAAAAATAAAAAATAGTCAAATTCAAATGCAAAAAATAGTATCATTCAAACACAAAAAAAATAGTAATATTCAAAAAAAAAAAATAGTAACATTGAATATTAATATTTAAGAAAATAATAGTAATAACTTGTTCAACAAAAAATAGTAATATGCTCAAAATAATAGTAACATGAACAGTAATATAATAAAAAATATAGTAACATGAAACATTTAAGCCTAAATAATAATAATATTTTAAAAAAACATTGAACATATAATCGGCATGATTGTGAATAGACGAGAAAACAGTAACAAAAAAAAAATAGTAAACACGACGATGATGTTGCCATAATGCATATCGATGATGGTCACTACAACTTGAGAAATGAAGTGATAAAAGCTCGAAATTTCGGACTTGTTAGAGAGAGAAATGGGAGATTGAGATTGAGATGCAAAAATATTTAGCAGATTTTTATATTCAACTTTTATTGACATATTTATTTTAAATAGATAGTATAATTAATTTTAACAAAGTGTACTACCAAATATAATGGTAAGATGGAATGTTATTAAATTTAATATTAATATAATCAATGAAAAGAAGCAGAATTATAAATAATAAAACATAAGTTAAATATCATAGAATTAAATGGTGCTTTTTGTTGCCGTAAACAATATAAATAAATTATTAACAAACCCAAATGACATTTAAAAAATTTTAAATTTGAATTTTAAAATAGAAATGGGCTTAATTGAAAATATATTTTAAAATTTTATGTTAAATAATAGACTTGATTAAATTTTCATAAAATGAGGACCTAAAATGGCAATTAATTTAATGACTATGCCATTGACCCGCGCCCAATGCGCGTGATATTTATGAAACTCTTTCTTATGGTTTGGGAGGATTAATGAAAGAGGTGTCACAGATTATTAGAAAGTCTTGGTCTAGATAACGACCTTCACTCGTGCCTCATGGTTTGGGATATCCTTTTGCCCATTCATCACTCAGTGGTGGGTCGTGGTTGACCTACACAATTACTTTCGCAGATATATATTCTAAATAAATATGAATCGGGTAATTTTTTATAGACTAAATTTGTGCGCTAAAATTTGTACTAAATCAACTGCAACTGTTAGATCAGTAATGAGACTCATTGATCCATCGGCTGCAAGTTGTATGATGCAAATTTTAGTACACAAATTTAGTGCACACAATATTACTCTTATAAAAAAAATATTATTTATATATAATTTAAGAACTTACTTTGTGGAACAAATTTTAGAAAGGAGTGGATTTCATTTATATTCAGACTTCTTGTTGATTTACTGAATTAGATCATCATTTGCGAGACTTCAAGAAAAGTTCACAAGCATTATTAATTTAACAATTAAATAAATTTAATCAATAAATTTGGTTTAAGTATAATTACACAGTAACTTTTTTGTGACTCAATTTCCCATGCAACGCTATTTACAGTTCAAAGTAACTTCATTTTTATTTCTCTTCTTTCTTTTTTTTTTTTCAGTCTCCTATGTAAATATTTATGTGATTTTTGGAAGTCGGTACATCTAATTAGACTTATTTGACAAAAAGTATATATTAAAAAATAGTTTAGAAAAAGGTACACTAGTTAGATACAAAGACATAAATGCCCATTTTAGGAAAAATGGTGCATTAAATATCTCCTAGTTTTATGAGAGAATTTTAATATTTAAAGTACATTGATTCATGTGTATTTGTTAATATATATATATATAGTGTAACATTAAAAATGTAAAGTGTTAAGTATTACTTATTTCTCACCTTACTTAATGAAAAGTGTAAAATATTACATGTTAACATTGAAAGTGTAACAATTTCACACTTTCTCAATTAATTAGCATTTTTAATATAAGATGAAACATGTATATTCTGTTTGTATAACACTTTAGGTAATTTCTCTCATTACCTTGTATAAATAGCTTGTTACATTGTTATTGCTACACTGTTATTATTACTTTCAATATTACCTTATAACATTTTACACTTTCCATTAAGAAATGTGAGACATAAGATAATATTTTACACTTTACACTTTCAATGTTACATTTTACACACACACACACACACATATATATATAGTAGCAAATACACATGAATCAAGGCGCATTAAATACTAAAGTTCTCCCATAAAAATATGAGATATTTAATACACCACTTTCCGAAGAACATATACATGGATCAATGGAGGACAAAAATATCACAAAAAATTAGACATATTTAAATTGTGTATTTAGATACAAATAAGTATCAAAATTAAGGATTTAATTACCTTATATTTTTTAGTGTGTACTTTTTATTAAATAAGTCTAATTTGGTGTATCATTTTACAATTTACCCAATATTTATCATATAATCACCTTTAGTTTTGACTCTCTTGTCATATATAATTGAGACCTTATCAAATACCCCTTTAACTCCTGTTTCTTGCTATTTGGTCAATAAATTTAAAGAAACATTTTTTTTTTGTCTATATCTCTTTTACCCTCTTGTTTTTACCTAATTAGGATTTATGGATTTCCTTAGTATACACTATACCATCTCTTCAACGTCAAATAAGTTTGCTAAATTGTTCTTAATAAGTCTGCTAATCACACACTGAGTGTCACATCTCTCTACACTAAACAACTTATTCGATGTGAAAATCCTCTACTTTGAACTTTCAAAATAATAATTTGAGTTATACAGTTATAAAAGTACAATAACAGTTGATATTAATTTAATTTCTATCTAATTTTATTTAACATAACATCATATATTACAAAAAAAAAAAATTCTTGCCCAAAAAACATCATCTTCTCTACTCAACTTTCAATAATGTCAAACAATTCAATCAATACATTCATTAATGACAAATAACTCCACTAATCTACACTAATTTTTCACTTCTTTTTTTTCTTACCTCTTTTTCTTTTGTCCACTTTAATTTTAAATATTTTTTTAAATAAATAAATAAATTATTATTTAAAAATAAATATTACATGATCAATATTTAATTTTTACTATTATGATAACTATACCATGTTTTGTTGCTTGTGATAAAAATAAGACAATTATTCAAATATGTTGTCTTTTTTTTTTAGATTTTTTGGAAGTCGGTACACCTAATTAGACTTATTTGACAAAAAATATATAGAACAAAATAATTTGAAAAAAAGTACACATCTGAAATACAAAGACATAAATGTCTATTTTAGGATCATTTAATTGAAAATCTCTTATCTTTAATGCACCTTAATTCATGTGTGTTGTTAATATATATATATATATACTTGTTGTTGAATTTCTTATCTAAATTTTGAATTATCTTTAATGCACCTTGATTCATGCATATTTTTTTTTTAAAAGTGATTTTGTTTTCAAATTATATTTAATGCACCTTGATTCATGCGTTTTTTTTTTTTTTTGGAAAGTGGTTTTACTTTCAAATTAATTTAATATCCAAATAGTGTAACAATAACAGTATAACAAAAATAGTGTTCAGTAGTTTTGTGCATATGGTAACAAATTCAAAACAGAGATGTATTATTTTGAATAAAATTATATGAAACTATATGTTTGACAAAATGTAATAGTACAATATTTTGTGTAAATAGCTTGTTACACTGTTATTGTTATACTATTACACTATTCAGATATTAAATTAATTTAAAAATAAAACCATTTTTCAAAAAAAAAAAAAACATGAATCAATGTGCATTAAATATAATTTGAAAACAAAATCACTTTCCAAAAAAATAGACACATGAATCAAGGTGCATTAAACTATGAACCAAGGTGTATTATACGTATATATATACGAAACTATATTAGTCGGTGAATTTCTATTGACGTGGAAATAGAAACTATGACGCCATAAAAACTGGTAGTCTTCTAAACCAAACAATCACTACAAGAATAAAGGTTTTTTGTGACAATTTATTTTTGGTGGCATTGTTTGTTGTCACAAAAGATGTATTTGAGACAATTTTTTGTAGTAGTCGTGTTTGTCAATACAAAAAGCGTATTTGTGTTGATATTTGTGACAACTATTTTTTCTGCCATAAAAAATGTCATAAACTCAAAAGAAATTTTTGTATTTGAGACAGTTGTTTTTCGTGCCTCAAATAATATTTTATAAATTCAAAAGAATTTTTTATATTTATGACAACTATTTTTCCTGTCGTATATAATATTTCATAAAAAATTAAAATATTATTTTAGATAAAAAAAATGGCTTATAGTTTAAAGACGAAAAACTCTAAAAAATTTTGTATTAGCCACAACTATTTTCATCTTACAAGTAATATTTTATAAAATTATGTAGTTTAACATCAAAAGCCAATTTTTAGTTCAAAGAAAAAAAATTAAACTCTATAAAGTCAAGTTTTTATATCAAAATTAGGGGTGTTAAAATATGACACGACCTGTTAACACGACATAAAATTAGTGGGTTTGAGTCT